GTTGTAGGCGTACTGGTGTAAATCCTACAGTTCTTCAAGGGTAGTTTGTCGTGTCAGAATCCACAACATTTGATGTAGTGATTGTACATATGTTTGTGTTAAATAGTTGTGTGATTTCCAATTGATGTAATTGTTGGTTAATCTTGTTTGTGTCTGGACATTCCACAACTTACAATCGTCAACCTGTGAAGGTTTGTAGGCGTACTGGTGTAAGTCCTGCAATTCTTCAAAGTAATTCCACCAAGACATGATCCGCGAGGTTATTTGTACTATTTGTATATACGTGTGGTGTGTCATATCAATTGGTGTTTTTGGATTCATTGTGTTTACTCGTTGTTTTCGAACCTTGTTTTTATTGCATAATTTTGTTAAAATTTTCGTCGTGATTACTTCTGAAGTTGTTTCGAGTCTTCCACATCCGTCAATGAATTGATTGATGTTAAAGAAAGCAGATGGGTCGTATACGCCGGGGAGGCTATTGCTGAGAATGAAATGCACACGGAGATAATTGTTAGCTGCGGTCCCACACGACGGGGAGAAAGAGTGTAAACGACTGAGGCTCGCATGCGTCACCGCTACTAGAACTGAGGCAGAATGAGTGACAAGCGATTGCAGTGGTAATTGATAGTGAATAGAAAAGAGGATGCTTGAAGAGTATCATGAGGTGGTGCTATGGTCACGTTGCATTCTGCAAGAGTCATTCTAGCATGTGGCGATTGTGTTGCAAGATGTCAAGAGGAGGTCTCTGTCTGGAGGCGCAGGTCGTCAGCGATGTGTGAGATTGTGCTGTGGGTATGTTTGTGGTGTGTTGGCTTTTCTGTTTGTTTTCCATTTCAGCTCTGTCCGTGTGACCAGTGTTGTCGCAATGGCATCCAAGTCAACGTGTATTGGTCGTGAAGGAAAAAAGGGTTGGATCCCTTTTTTGCCGGGGAGTGTCAATGTAGTTGAATATTGAACGATCAATTAGTGGTTGTTTGCTCAAAGCCAACTTCCCAAATTTTCGCGGAGGCATCAATACGACAGTCATCGTCTCATCGGTCGCTGTTCAGAAAGAAGAGTAAAATATCGTCAGAAGTAATAAAATGATATATTATTGTAATATTTGTTTTCAGAACTTAGTTGCTTAGTTCGTTTATTCCTTTTATATGTTGGTGTAACAATAAAGAAATAACAAGCAGCAGATCGGTGTTTTGGTTTTTGCGTCCGTTATTACTAAGCGTTTCTGAAACTCAAAGGAACAGCGTGGGCCCGAGCGTAGCGAGAGCTGGGCATTAACGGTTTATGAGACGTGATTGGCAACTATCATCTGATGATAGGTGGGCTACACGCTGATCAATTACACTGACGGTCTCACAGCTATCCATACCTTCTGCAACTGCATCTGCATTTAATTCTACTTCACGTTGTAGTTGTACAGAACCTTTGTTCAACTTGGCAGTAGTAGGCATTCCCCTCATCTCTATCATGATCAACCATAGAGAAAAGTGCACTATCATGATCACTGTCACAATTATTGAGTCTACCTCCGTTTGTATGATGAATGTCCTCATTTTGAAGCTCTTAACATCAGTGGATAATTTGGGTTCCTCCTCACAAATCCTTGAAGATTTCATACCTTTTCTGTGACTAGGAATATCTTTTATATATGTGGAGTCTGAACTGGACTCTGTAACTGTAACTCTTTTCTCCTGCACAAACTGTGGTGTCGTCTGTGACACTCTATTCAACAATGGCTTACCAGTTGCAACTACAGGCTCCTTCGCGGCACCATTATCATCACACCGTTCGGAGTCAGACCTTGATTTCACACTTAGCTTACTACTACACTTAATCACTTCCTCACAGTTCGGCTTTGTATGCACTTCTTGCAGACGTGTTAAACACAACCATGTTTGTCTTGCAACTTGTAACCCATCTGTTGAGGATGTCCCGCGAAGGCTGTCACACTCACCAATTTTATATGGATTACTAGATACCATAAATCTTTCATGTCGTCGCCTTCTCTGAGACCCTTTCGTCGTAAATGATTGCGGTTTGCTCTCAGGCTTCTCTATTCTAGGGGTGAGGTGCAATATACTGGAAAACCTGCTCATAGATTGATTGAAGCTATATTTACCAGTTTCAGAATATCATCGAACTTTGGCTAAATACCTTCATCCAATGTAAAGTCAGTGCTTCTGTACGGATCAGAGGCTTGCACTGCGCGTCATAAAGAGCATCTCAAACAAACTACAGACCTTCATTCACAGTTGTCTTCGTTCAATACTCAAGACCAGATGGCCAGAAAAGATCAGCAACAGGGATCTCTGGCAATGAGCGAACCAACCAGGAACCGATTGTGAAACAAATAGGCAGGAAGAAATGGAGATGGATTCGCTGGCCATACTCTGAGCAAACCATCAAGTGAGTGACATCATTAGACAAGCCATTGTTCGACTGGAACCTGAAGGGGAAGCGGCGAGTTGGTCGACAATGTCAGGGTGACTTGGAGGAGGTCATGTGAAGAGGAGACGAAAGCATGTGGTCAGACTTGGAGCGGGTTGATAAGGTTGGCAGAAAACAGAAGGCAATGGAGACGCGCGTCTGAAGCCCTATGTTCCTCTAGGAATTAAAGGATAAAATAGTAATAATAATACACGAGAGTTTATCTTCACCCACTTGCTTTGAAGTCGAGTAGGTAGGCGTCTTGCTATTACTTCTAGTTTAAAACTCGAGTTGAGGTCACTCATGCAATTCATCGAAATCAATGCATTCTTGTAAATCAGCAAATTATCCAAAAACTCAGTGAGTGCCTGGGAGTCATCCTGTATTTGATCACCATTACATTTAACAGCCTCGAGTAATTTCCCTGCAATCATCGATGGTCTTCCGAACCTTTGACGTAGTATGCTCATAGCCTCGTAGTAGCCCGCTTTTGGCTTCATAAACTTACAATACTGTATAGCTCTTGCAGCAACTCCAGTGCAATACCTCATCAAATACATTAACTTCATTTCATCATTTAATATAAAACCATTCAACATGATCTCAAACTCCTTTGCAAACTGTAAATAATCAGCTGGGTTTCCGTCGAAACACAGTGGTTCAAATTTAGGGAGTTTGATATTCCTATTATCCCTAGACTGCGAAACATGAACAACAAACTCACCATGCTGAGCATCAAACACAACGTTACAAGTAACAGACAAGCCAACATAACTTACTTTCCTGTTTGCTTCTAAGACGCTCTTTTCCCTTCTCTGACCCAGGCATCATGAAACGTAACCAAAATTCCAGGAAGTTTCCGATAACGCTTGTTCAAAGAAGACTTAGCCGGCATCAGGAAATACGGACGGAGACTATTCAATCCGTAAAAAATTATCACCAACTGTCAGAAACTGTCAATCACGTCCCAAAATCCGTTAATGGCCAGCTCTTGCTACGCTGGGCCTCACGCTGTCCCTCGAAGCCTTTCAGAAACGCTTAGTACTAACGGACGCAAAAACCATAACACAGATTGGCGACTAGAGAATTCTTCATTCTAACACCAACATATAACCAGCATTATTGGTATTACGGACTAAGGTCTATGAACAAATATTACAACAATAAATCACGATATTACTTCTGACAGGTTATTCTAGTTTCTTTCAGAACAGCGGCCGATGAGACGATGACTGGCGGATTGATCACCCGAGAAAATTATGGGGAAGTTGGATTTGAGCAAACAACCATGAGTTGATCGTTCAATCTTCAACTACATTGAAATGAGTGGTTTGGCGACTGCCTGATGGATAGAAAGTAGAAGATTAGGGTTAATAGCGTGCTGTTAGTGTGGAAAACAGTAGTGAATGCGGTACCTTGGGGATCTGTGCTTGGCCCACTACTATTCCTGTTATACGTAAATGAACTGCTAAAAATTCTTACCTCATCTTCCTTTTATCTGCCGACGATATTAAGATATAGAAAGCCGTATATAATGAAGATGATAGTTTGATACTACAAAACCATCTAGATAAATTCACTGAATGGGTTGACCCTTGGAATCTGGAAATTAATTCCAAGAAAAGTACGGTGATGCGCCTTGGTCGGAGGTCTCATACGTCATACTCCATGGGGGACAAAGGCACATACAGATGTTAAGGAACAAAAGGACGTAGGAATTATCGTAATCCATGACTTAAAACAACGACAAACTGTAATGGAGTCGAAGTTAAGGCTTTTTAAATGCTACAGGTATTCCGAAAGGGTTTCAAACGATTACATGAGCCTATGTTCAAAGTACTTTACGCAACACACGTTAGGCCTGATCTAAAATACTGCAAACAAGCGGCTAGTCAAGGCTTCAAGGAGGAAGGAGTATCTTAGAAGGAGTATCTTAGAAAGAATACGAAGGGTAGGAACCATATTAGTCAGTGGTATCTAACACCTTCCTTATGATAAAGGATGGAGAATTTGAATCTTTTCCCGCTATCATACCAAAGGCAGAGGCGACTTAATTTTGGTATACCATATATTTGAAGGGGATGAAACCTTTTCTTTCCCTCTAGGATAAACTTACGAGGTCACAACAAGAAAGGTGCTCAGACCGAGGTCGAACAAGGTACGTGTGGAGTTAAGATTCTCTCACAGAGTGATCAACGACTGGAACTCCTTACCTGATTCAATAGTAATACCTCCTTCAGTAAACACTTTCAAAGAGAAACTAGATCGCTGCAAATACCTAAATATCAAGAATTAACATAGGCAACTAGAGCCTTTTATCCCTATAATCTGAAGCTGGACCTGAAATTTGGAAAGGTCTTAACCTAGATTCTAAAGACGATTACCTCGGACTGAAGTCGGAAAATCCGGAGTCCTAATGCAATCTGTCGTCTCTGTGATGATAATCGCTTCTCGTTTTTATTAGTGTGCCACAAAGAGTGACTGAGATTGAAACATTTAGCTCCTAACTTTGTTTTACTGCACACCTGGCAGTAGTCGAGGCGCTTAACATCCGGTCCCATCCATCCATACAAGACATGAGTAGATATGGACGATCACCCCCAAGAATAGATGGGATGGTATCTCTGAAAGTAGATAATTTGGCGTACCGGACAACCATTGATGACCTGCGAAGAGTTTTCAGCCGTTTCGGTGAGGTTGGTAAGTACAAATCAAATCTGTTGGCTCTCATACTGATGTAGGCGATATTTACATCCCTAGAGATCCATACACTTTCGAGAGCAGAGGATTCGCCTTCGTGAGGTATTGCTCAGATAGGGAGGCAGATTGTGCAATACGCGGCATGGATGGACACAAGGTAGACGGCCGGGAAATTCGCGTCCAGAGAGCTAAATACGGCCGGCCAACTCCTAATCGCAGAAGGTAACATTTTGAATTTCATTGTATATCGTTGCGTTCAAACATGTTTAAGCCACTTATATTGTCCTTGTACTAATTTGACACGGAATAGGCCACAAGCAATCCCTTCTGTAACATCCTGAAAGCTTTTCAGTCCCAAGTTCCATATCAAAAACACCGCATGCATGAAAACCTGAAAACGAGCACTAACAAATGCTCATAATCATCAACTGCTTCATTATTTACCCTAATAACCACGATGGCTAATGAGAAGTTCAGTGTAGTAGAATAACAATTTACTCATTGAACTCCTCGTGGACTTCAGTGTTGACAATAATTGCCTAGTGTTGTCGAGGTGTTTTTGTTTGTGTGTCCTGGGGCAGTGTATGTGGTGTATGTGACAAGAGGAATCGGATCGGGGATATTGTACTACTACTAGATGATAGTTGAGAGAGAGGTGTTTTCTAGGACATAGTTTTGTTACTTGTATGGCCGAGTGTTGTTTGTGATTAGAGTAATTCTGAGTAATTTCTCCTTAGTTTAGACAGGAGCGATTCCTAGGGAGGAGTGAATGAAGGTTCTGAGCAACTAAACAGTGTTTATGCTTCACTACAACTGGATAGACAGTGTAAACATGTGATGGCGATGGATGGTTTTTTTGGGATGTGTGTAGGCCACGTCAGATCGTTGGTTCGAGTTTTTCGCGTATGCATTCTGTTAGAGCCTGATAGTGATCAGGTGTCGTAAGGATGCTACATGAAAATGAGTGGTTTTACAGAGACATGTTTTCCTGCTTGCCTCTCAAATAGCTCCTACATTAAAGACTGTGTTTTAGTCGAAGGTAGTGTGTTACTTTTGTGTTGGAGAATGTAGTGTTGGTCCCCGAAGATGCCGGGTGTGAAGTGATTGGTGAAGGTTGGTGTTCACAGATCGTGTTTTGTGTTGAGGTTAGCTTCTGCTTCAGGTGGTTTTGAACTGTTTTTAGCGTATCCATGGATTTGTGGCAGATTTGGGTGATAGTTTAGTGTTACAGTTAGGAGATGAATAGGATTTGTGACTTGTCTTGTGGGGCTGATGTTGGGGACTGACAGTGGTTGGTCACACACTGAGAACATTAGTCTTGTGTTTTCAAGAGTCTGGACTTCGTAGTCCTCTGCAAAACGAATGGTTATCACAACGTTTTGTTCAAACATCTGCTATGATTTAATTTGATGGAAGGGTGTTTGACATACATTGGTTTTTGAGCGGAGTGATTGTGGGTTATGAGTTGAAGACTACTGTTTCAGGCTGCACTGATCATTGAGGATTTGATATGTAGATATCATGGGAGTGAATGTTTTTGTTCGAAGTGAAAGTCGGGAGACGGCTAGTTGATTGTCTTCGTGGATTCACAATTTCGGCTTATGTGAATGTGGTGAGTTGATTGTTTGTTATGAAGGTTATTACCGATCTGTTCGTCGAAGATGTTGATGATTGTTTATTGGTGTTGATGGTGTTTCAGTGGCATATTCAGTTTATTTGCTTGGTGCATTTAACTATAGTAGGTTTCGTATGGTGGTGGAAGGTTTAGAGAATTGTGTAGATCAGTGAGTGGTGTTTTCTGGTGCACTGTTGTTTCATTGTGTTTGAGAGGCGGATACGAGTTTGATTCACATCTTCCAGTCCTCTCTGTTCTTACATAGCGCGTACGCATTGGTTGTTTATCTGTTTGCCTTTCTGTTGAATCTTCCTGTTTGTATTGTTTCGAGAAGTATTACTACTACATTGTGTACGATGTGAATGTGTGGTTGTGGGAGTCACTGGTTTGTAGATGATAGGAGAGAGATGAATATATGCAGAATGATATGGCTAATTAGTGTGAGAGAAGAACGATGAGATATTTGTTGAGATGTGTGGAGTGACGGTGATGGTGAGTGCATTTCCAGTGTATGGGTTGATGTGTGTTTGTGTCTGAGATGGTTTCTAAGCTGTCACATGCTTGATGTAAGAGCAGGAATCGGTCTGGTTGTTGATGGGAACTGTCGTTGAGTGGTTGTTCGTTCGAGTAATGTTGGATTTTCCTGGGGTTTTAGCCTAAGCTTAAGCTTTAAGCTTAGTGTGATGCATCTGAGAAGGCTTGATTAACAAGTCTAATGTTTCAAAGATGCGATAGTAAAGGGAGCAATCACTGGCGGTATGCAAAGCATCCTGTTAAAATTGCTCTCACAAGTTTTCATAGGGTGTCTGCTGTTGTCGTGCATTCCGCTAGAGCGCGGCTGTTGTCGGGTGTATTTGGAATGCGATATTAAAAGGAGCGATATCATTGGTAATGTTGTTGCCGAGTATGGATAGCTCCGATAAAGTTGTAAACAGTGTAACCGAGTTCAGTGCATTTCCATAGTGCCAGAACGTTGTTTCTGGTCTCCGAAAAATGCTAAATTGAAGTGATAGGAGATGGTCGCTAGTGGCATTTGCGTGCCTTTAGTACCATCTGCACATTTTGATTGTTCATGTTTTTACTCGTGTCAGTCGAATTGTTGGGGTGAGTTAGTTTCTGTGCGCATAGTGTGATAGATAGACGATGCTGGGATTTGGATGCGACCATGCGTTAATTATTAGTTGATTTCCGTTCGAGAGTGTAGGTGAGCTTTGAGAGAGTGAGCTACGCGTATCGGGATGTAGTTCCTGTGAGAGGAGGGATTGATTAGTTGTTGGCGTGACGGGGATGAAGTAATTGAGAGGAAGATGTTATTTTGAGGGTTTATCGACGTCTCCTAGCTTAAGTGGTAGAAGGCAGAATAGAAGTAGTTTGTTATTTCTGCGTAGCCATGCATAGGTATGTTTGGAAAGTGGAAGAAGGATGTTGTGGTCATTTGGATTGTTGATATGTGGGTGTAGTCCGTGTATTGACTGTGTGGTTCTTGTAGCCTAATTGTTAGTTAGTGTGAAGACAGCTGGTATTGCACTGGTGTTTTATGATTTAGTGTATTTTGTTTGGTTTACATGTGAAATTGGTATCGCTTGCATGCCTCGTTTAACTTACATCAATAAATCTCTGGATGCATTTTCGCAAATGAGTTCATTTTTCACTTTTCAGACGATCGGTTACTCCGCGACGAAATGGACGGCGTTCTCGTTCTTTTTCGTCAGGTCGTGAGAGACGGTCCCCACGTAGGATGAATGATCGATACCGTCTTCCCTCCTCTCCTCGACGTTATAGTCGGTCCCTGTCAAGAGAACGTCGTTAACTAACTTCTGCTTACTTTGAATTGTTCATTGTTTTTATCGGTTTGTATGCATACATCATGAATTTATTATTTAACTTAGTCTTTTGCTTTTCTTATCAGTTGGTATCCTGCCGTTATGGATTGCCTGTGTACTGTGCTGGTGCGCGGGGAGGTTGGTGATATTTGCAGTGTCGGGGAGAGAAAGTTTCCAGTTGTTAGCTGTTTGCAGATTTCGTGACTCGGCGTGTAGCTGTTAATCTGGAGACATAGTTTTGGTTGGTGTGCAGTTGAAGCTCTTTCGTCAGACTGGTGGCCTGAGGGTGTGACTAGCAGGTTGAACCGTGGCGCTGTAGCTGTTAACTGCTTGCTGTATGTTCTGGCGACTAGTCGGTGTAGGTTTAGCGGTCTATCGACAGGGTGTCCGAGACAGTCAATTCAAAATAGCGGGGAAGATTTGCATGCTGTCTGCTTGAGAGTACTTGGCGTTGACAACTGAGGTTGTTCAGACTGGTGGGTGTTTGTGCGGTGAGTGGATCAGATGGCTGCAGCAGGATTGCCGAAAAGTGATGGTTTTAACCCCGTAGTTTGGGCCTAGATCCTGGTTATCCTGATCCGCACGGTAAGCCACTACAGTAATTGATAAAACGTTTTCCAAAGTATATAACAGATAGTTGTATCATGACGTATTTGAGGGATTTGTGCCTTTGATGTGTAACCATTTGTGGAGCTTCATCCGATGTTGGTACTGTATGATGTAGGGCAGTTGGAGTGATAATGCTCGACGAAGTGACTATTTTGTCACTCACTGAAATCCTTGTGGACTTCAGTGTTGACAATAATTGCCTAGTGTTGTCGAGGTGTTTTTGTTTGTGTGTCCTGGGGCAGTGTATGTGGTGTATGTGACAAGAGGAATCGGATCGGGGATATTGTACTACTACTAGATGATAGTTGAGAGAGAGGTGTTTTCTAGGACATAGTTTTGTTACTTGTATGGCCGAGTGTTGTTTGTGATTAGAGTAATTCTGAGTAATTTCTCCTTAGTTTAGACAGGAGCGATTCCTAGGGAGGAGTGAATGAAGGTTCTGAGCAACTAAACAGTGTTTATGCTTCACTACAACTGGATAGACAGTGTAAACATGTGATGGCGATGGATGGTTTTTTTGGGATGTGTGTAGGCCACGTCAGATCGTTGGTTCGAGTTTTTCGCGTATGCATTCTGTTAGAGCCTGATAGTGATCAGGTGTCGTAAGGATGCTACATGAAAAGGAGTGGTTTTACAGAGACATGTTTTCCTGCTTGCCTCTCAAATAGCTCCTACATTAAAGACTGTGTTTTAGTCGAAGGTAGTGTGTTACTTTTGTGTTGGAGAATGTAGTGTTGGTCCCCGAAGATGCCGGGTGTGAAGTGATTGGTGAAGGTTGGTGTTCACAGATCGTGTTTTGTGTTGAGGTTAGCTTCTGCTTCAGGTGGTTTTGAACTGTGTTTTTAGCGTATCCATGGATTTGTGGCAGATTTGGGTGATAGTTTAGTGTTACAGTTAGGAGATGAATAGGATTTGTGACTTGTCTTGTGGGGCTGATGTTGGGGACTGACAGTGGTTGGTCACACACTGAGAACATTAGTCTTGTGTTTTCAAGAGTCTGGACTTCGTAGTCCTCTGCAAAACGAATGGTTATCACAACGTTTTGTTCAAACATCTGCTATGATTTAATTTGATGGAAGGGTGTTTGACATACATTGGTTTTTGAGCGGAGTGATTGTGGGTTATGAGTTGAAGACTACTGTTTCAGGCTGCACTGATCATTGAGGATTTGATATGTAGATATCATGGGAGTGAATGTTTTTGTTCGAAGTGAAAGTCGGGAGACGGCTAGTTGATTGTCTTCGTGGATTCACAATTTCGGCTTATGTGAATGTGGTGAGTTGATTGTTTGTTATGAAGGTTATTACCGATCTGTTCGTCGAAGATGTTGATGATTGTTTATTGGTGTTGATGGTGTTTCAGTGGCATATTCAGTTTATTTGCTTGGTGCATTTAACTATAGTAGGTTTCGTATGGTGGTGGAAGGTTTAGAGAATTGTGTAGATCAGTGAGTGGTGTTTTCTGGTGCACTGTTGTTTCATTGTGTTTGAGAGGCGGATACGAGTTTGATTCACATCTTCCAGTCCTCTCTGTTCTTACATAGCGCGTACGCATTGGTTGTTTATCTGTTTGCCTTTCTGTTGAATCTTCCTGTTTGTATTGTTTCGAGAAGTATTACTACTACATTGTGTACGATGTGAATGTGTGGTTGTGGGAGTCACTGGTTTGTAGATGATAGGAGAGAGATGAATATATGCAGAATGATATGGCTAATTAGTGTGAGAGAAGAACGATGAGATATTTGTTGAGATGTGTGGAGTGACGGTGATGGTGAGTGCATTTCCAGTGTATGGGTTGATGTGTGTTTGTGTCTGAGATGGTTTCTAAGCTGTCACATGCTTGATGTAAGAGCAGGAATCGGTCTGGTTGTTGATGGGAACTGTCGTTGAGTGGTTGTTCGTTCGAGTAATGTTGGATTTTCCTGGGGTTTTAGCCTAAGCTTAAGCTTTAAGCTTAGTGTGATGCATCTGAGAAGGCTTGATTAACAAGTCTAATGTTTCAAAGATGCGATAGTAAAGGGAGCAATCACTGGCGGTATGCAAAGCATCCTGTTAAAATTGCTCTCACAAGTTTTCATAGGGTGTCTGCTGTTGTCGTGCATTCCGCTAGAGCGCGGCTGTTGTCGGGTGTATTTGGAATGCGATATTAAAAGGAGCGATATCATTGGTAATGTTGTTGCCGAGTATGGATAGCTCCGATAAAGTTGTAAACAGTGTAACCGAGTTCAGTGCATTTCCATAGTGCCAGAACGTTGTTTCTGGTCTCCGAAAAATGCTAAATTGAAGTGATAGGAGATGGTCGCTAGTGGCATTTGCGTGCCTTTAGTACCATCTGCACATTTTGATTGTTCATGTTTTTACTCGTGTCAGTCGAATTGTTGGGGTGAGTTAGTTTCTGTGCGCATAGTGTGATAGATAGACGATGCTGGGATTTGGATGCGACCATGCGTTAATTATTAGTTGATTTCCGTTCGAGAGTGTAGGTGAGCTTTGAGAGAGTGAGCTACGCGTATCGGGATGTAGTTCCTGTGAGAGGAGGGATTGATTAGTTGTTGGCGTGACGGGGATGAAGTAATTGAGAGGAAGATGTTATTTTGAGGGTTTATCGACGTCTCCTAGCTTAAGTGGTAGAAGGCAGAATAGAAGTAGTTTGTTATTTCTGCGTAGCCATGCATAGGTATGTTTGGAAAGTGGAAGAAGGATGTTGTGGTCATTTGGATTGTTGATATGTGGGTGTAATCCGTGTATTGACTGTGTGGTTCTTGTAGCCTAATTGTTAGTTAGTGTGAAGACAGCTGGTATTGCACTGGTGTTTTATGATTTAGTGTATTTTGTTTGGTTTACATGTGAAATTGGTATCGCTTGCATGCCTCGTTTAACTTACATCAATAAATCTCTGGATGCATTTTCGCAAATGAGTTCATTTTTCACTTTTCAGACGATCGGTTACTCCGCGACGAAATGGACGGCGTTCTCGTTCTTTTTCGTCAGGTCGTGAGAGACGGTCCCCACGTAGGATGAATGATCGATACCGTCTTCCCTCCTCTCCTCGACGTTATAGTCGGTCCCTGTCAAGAGAACGTCGTTAACTAACTTCTGCTTACTTTGAATTGTTCATTGTTTTTATCGGTTTGTATGCATACATCATGAATTTATTATTTAACTTAGTCTTTTGCTTTTCTTATCAGTTGGTATCCTGCCGTTATGGATTGCCTGTGTACTGTGCTGGTGCGCGGGGAGGTTGGTGATATTTGCAGTGTCGGGGAGAGAAAGTTTCCAGTTGTTAGCTGTTTGCAGATTTCGTGACTCGGCGTGTAGCTGTTAATCTGGAGACATAGTTTTGGTTGGTGTGCAGTTGAAGCTCTTTCGTCAGACTGGTGGCCTGAGGGTGTGACTAGCAGGTTGAACCGTGGCGCTGTAGCTGTTAACTGCTTGCTGTATGTTCTGGCGACTAGTCGGTGTAGGTTTAGCGGTCTATCGACAGGGTGTCCGAGACAGTCAATTCAAAATAGCGGGGAAGATTTGCATGCTGTCTGCTTGAGAGTACTTGGCGTTGACAACTGAGGTTGTTCAGACTGGTGGGTGTTTGTGCGGTGAGTGGATCAGATGGCTGCAGCAGGATTGCCGAAAAGTGATGGTTTTAACCCCGTAGTTTGGGCCTAGATCCTGGTTATCCTGATCCGCACGGTAAGCCACTACAGTAATTGATAAAACGTTTTCCAAAGTATATAACAGATAGTTGTATCATGACGTATTTGAGGGATTTGTGCCTTTGATGTGTAACCATTTGTGGAGCTTCATCCGATGTTGGTACTGTATGATGTAGGGCAGTTGGAGTGATAATGCTCGACGAAGTGACTATTTTGTCACTCACTGAAATCCTTGTGGACTTCAGTGTTGACAATAATTGCCTAGTGTTGTCGAGGTGTTTTTGTTTGTGTGTCCTGGGGCAGTGTATGTGGTGTATGTGACAAGAGGAATCGGATCGGGGATATTGTACTACTACTAGATGATAGTTGAGAGAGAGGTGTTTTCTAGGACATAGTTTTGTTACTTGTATGGCCGAGTGTTGTTTGTGATTAGAGTAATTCTGAGTAATTTCTCCTTAGTTTAGACAGGAGCGATTCCTAGGGAGGAGTGAATGAAGGTTCTGAGCAACTAAACAGTGTTTATGCTTCACTACAACTGGATAGACAGTGTAAACATGTGATGGCGATGGATGGTTTTTTTGGGATGTGTGTAGGCCACGTCAGATCGTTGGTTCGAGTTTTTCGCGTATGCATTCTGTTAGAGCCTGATAGTGATCAGGTGTCGTAAGGATGCTACATGAAAAGGAGTGGTTTTACAGAGACATGTTTTCCTGCTTGCCTCTCAAATAGCTCCTACATTAAAGACTGTGTTTTAGTCGAAGGTAGTGTGTTACTTTTGTGTTGGAGAATGTAGTGTTGGTCCCCGAAGATGCCGGGTGTGAAGTGATTGGTGAAGGTTGGTGTTCACAGATCGTGTTTTGTGTTGAGGTTAGCTTCTGCTTCAGGTGGTTTTGAACTGTGTTTTTAGCGTATCCATGGATTTGTGGCAGATTTGGGTGATAGTTTAGTGTTACAGTTAGGAGATGAATAGGATTTGTGACTTGTCTTGTGGGGCTGATGTTGGGGACTGACAGTGGTTGGTCACACACTGAGAACATTAGTCTTGTGTTTTCAAGAGTCTGGACTTCGTAGTCCTCTGCAAAACGAATGGTTATCACAACGTTTTGTTCAAACATCTGCTATGATTTAATTTGATGGAAGGGTGTTTGACATACATTGGTTTTTGAGCGGAGTGATTGTGGGTTATGAGTTGAAGACTACTGTTTCAGGCTGCACTGATCATTGAGGATTTGATATGTAGATATCATGGGAGTGAATGTTTTTGTTCGAAGTGAAAGTCGGGAGACGGCTAGTTGATTGTCTTCGTGGATTCACAATTTCGGCTTATGTGAATGTGGTGAGTTGATTGTTTGTTATGAAGGTTATTACCGATCTGTTCGTCGAAGATGTTGATGATTGTTTATTGGTGTTGATGGTGTTTCAGTGGCATATTCAGTTTATTTGCTTGGTGCATTTAACTATAGTAGGTTTCGTATGGTGGTGGAAGGTTTAGAGAATTGTGTAGATCAGTGAGTGGTGTTTTCTGGTGCACTGTTGTTTCATTGTGTTTGAGAGGCGGATACGAGTTTGATTCACATCTTCCAGTCCTCTCTGTTCTTACATAGCGCGTACGCATTGGTTGTTTATCTGTTTGCCTTTCTGTTGAATCTTCCTGTTTGTATTGTTTCGAGAAGTATTACTACTACATTGTGTACGATGTGAATGTGTGGTTGTGGGAGTCACTGGTTTGTAGATGATAGGAGAGAGATGAATATATGCAGAATGATATGGCTAATTAGTGTGAGAGAAGAACGATGAGATATTTGTTGAGATGTGTGGAGTGACGGTGATGGTGAGTGCATTTCCAGTGTATGGGTTGATGTGTGTTTGTGTCTGAGATGGTTTCTAAGCTGTCACATGCTTGATGTAAGAGCAGGAATCGGTCTGGTTGTTGATGGGAACTGTCGTTGAGTGGTTGTTCGTTCGAGTAATGTTGGATTTTCCTGGGGTTTTAGCCTAAGCTTAAGCTTTAAGCTTAGTGTGATGCATCTGAGAAGGCTTGATTAACAAGTCTAATGTTTCAAAGATGCGATAGTAAAGGGAGCAATCACTGGCGGTATGCAAAGCATCCTGTTAAAATTGCTCTCACAAGTTTTCATAGGGTGTCTGCTGTTGTCGTGCATTCCGCTAGAGCGCGGCTGTTGTCGGGTGTATTTGGAATGCGATATTAAAAGGAGCGATATCATTGGTAATGTTGTTGCCGAGTATGGATAGCTCCGATAAAGTTGTAAACAGTGTAACCGAGTTCAGTGCATTTCCATAGTGCCAGAACGTTGTTTCTGGTCTCCGAAAAATGCTAAATTGAAGTGATAGGAGATGGTCGCTAGTGGCATTTGCGTGCCTTTAGTACCATCTGCACATTTTGATTGTTCATGTTTTTACTCGTGTCAGTCGAATTGTTGGGGTGAGTTAGTTTCTGTGCGCATAGTGTGATAGATAGACGATGCTGGGATTTGGATGCGACCATGCGTTAATTATTAGTTGATTTCCGTTCGAGAGTGTAGGTGAGCTTTGAGAGAGTGAGCTACGCGTATCGGGATGTAGTTCCTGTGAGAGGAGGGATTGATTAGTTGTTGGCGTGACGGGGATGAAGTAATTGAGAGGAAGATGTTATTTTGAGGGTTTATCGACGTCTCCTAGCTTAAGTGGTAGAAGGCAGAATAGAAGTAGTTTGTTATTTCTGCGTAGCCATGCATAGGTATGTTTGGAAAGTGGAAGAAGGATGTTGTGGTCATTTGGATTGTTGATATGTGGGTGTAATCCGTGTATTGACTGTGTGGTTCTTGTAGCCTAATTGTTAGTTAGTGTGAAGACAGCTGGTATTGCACTGGTGTTTTATGATTTAGTGTATTTTGTTTGGTTTACATGTGAAATTGGTATCGCTTGCATGCCTCGTTTAACTTACATCAATAAATCTCTGGATGCATTTTCGCAAATGAGTTCATTTTTCACTTTTCAGACGATCGGTTACTCCGCGACGAAATGGACGGCGTTCTCGTTCTTTTTCGTCAGGTCGTGAGAGACGGTCCCCACGTAGGATGAATGATCGATACCGTCTTCCCTCCTCTCCTCGACGTTATAGTCGGTCCCTGTCAAGAGAACGTCGTTAACTAACTTCTGCTTACTTTGAATTGTTCATTGTTTTTATCGGTTTGTATGCATACATCATGAATTTATTATTTAACTTAGTCTTTTGCTTTTCTTATCAGTTGGTATCCTGCCGTTATGGATTGCCTGTGTACTGTGCTGGTGCGCGGGGAGGTTGGTGATATTTGCAGTGTCGGGGAGAGAAAGTTTCCAGTTGTTAGCTGTTTGCAGATTTCGTGACTCGGCGTGTAGCTGTTAATCTGGAGACATAGTTTTGGTTGGTGTGCAGTTGAAGCTCTTTCGTCAGACTGGTGGCCTGAGGGTGTGACTAGCAGGTTGAACCGTGGCGCTGTAGCTGTTAACTGCTTGCTGTATGTTCTGGCGACTAGTCGGTGTAGGTTTAGCGGTCTATCGACAGGGTGTCCGAGACAGTCAATTCAAAATAGCGGGGAAGATTTGCATGCTGTCTGCTTGAGAGTACTTGGCGTTGACAACTGAGGTTGTTCAGACTGGTGGGTGTTTGTGCGGTGAGTGGATCAGATGGCTGCAGCAGGATTGCCGAAAAGTGATGGTTTTAACCCCGTAGTTTGGGCCTAGATCCTGGTTATCCTGATCCGCACGGTAAGCCACTACAGTAATTGATAAAACGTTTTCCAAAGTATATAACAGATAGTTGTATCATGACGTATTTGAGGGATTTGTGCCTTTGATGTGTAACCATTTGTGGAGCTTCATCCGATGTTGGTACTGTATGATGTAGGGCAGTTGGAGTGATAATGCTCGACGAAGTGACTATTTTGTCACTCACTGAAATCCTTGTGGACTTCAGTGTTGACAATAATTGCCTAGTGTTGTCGAGGTGTTTTTGTTTGTGTGTCCTGGGGCAGTGTATGTGGTGTATGTGACAAGAGGAATCGGATCGGGGATATTGTACTACTACTAGATGATAGTTGAGAGAGAGGTGTTTTCTAGGATATAGTTTTGTTACTTGTATGGCCGAGTGTTGTTTGTGATTAGAGTAATTCTGAGTAATTTCTCCTTAGTTTAGACAGGAGCGATTCCTAGGGAGGAGTGAATGAAGGTTCTGAGCAACTAAACAGTGTTTATGCTTCACTACAACTGGATAGACAGTGTAAACATGTGATGGCGATGGATGGTTTTTTTGGGATGTGTGTAGGCCACGTCAGATCGTTGGTTCGAGTTTTTCGCGTATGCATTCTGTTAGAGCCTGATAGTGATCAGGTGTCGTAAGGATGCTACATGAAAAGGAGTGGTTTTACAGAGACATGTTTTCCTGCTTGCCTCTCAAATAG